CAAGGGAGATCGATTTATATCAAATTTTATTCAATAAGTCCCGAGGTTGATGGAAGGATATACTATCCTGCTGAACATATTATTACAATAGGATATATTGGCCGAGATTTCCAGATTGAAGTTGGCCGAAATAATAAACCATTGCCTAAAATCAATAAATCATTGATAAAATGTCGAAGAATTTTGGGGATGAAAGTTCTTTACAACATTGCAAAAAACTTATATGATAAAAAATTCAGATGCTTGTGTTAATATGAAGGATGGACACTCCTTACGAATAATGGAAAAGAAAAATCTACCATTTTGAAAGAATATATCCAGAAATTTGATACTCATCAAATTAATGGAAGTCCTACAACAATCCAAGAATCATGCAGATTGAGGGAGTGCCCCACATGCAGACAAGATTAAAAGATTGATTTTTCAAGATAAAAGATGAATGGAGAAAAATAAAAGGGGACCTACCACTACCAAAGCATCTAGCCAGCTGCATATGGAGCCAAAGATGGAAATGCAATAATAGAGAAAAGATGCCCCTTTGAGGGAAAAGCAAAGAATGCATGTGAAAATGTAGACCCCAAGAGGAAAAGAATAGAGAGGCATGTGAGCCTTTTTTCAAATTCTGATGTATGCAATGATGTAATAGATCAATAATAGCAAATTTGAGTCATGTATAAATAGAGGTCTTTGGAGAAAAAATGGGGCATCTCGAGTTAGAAATCATTCTCTTTCCTTAAGGAATGGAGAAAAATAAAAGGGGACCTACCACTACCAAAGCATCTAGCCAGCTGCATATGGAGCCAAAGATGGAGATGCAATAATAGAGAAAAGATGCCCCTTTGAGGGAAAAGCAAAGAATGCATGTGAAAATGTAGACCCCAAGAGGAAAAGAATAGAGAGGCATGTGAGCCTTTTTTCAAATTCTGATGTATGCAATGATATAATAGATCAATAATAGCAAATTTGAGTCATGTATAAATAGAGGTCTTTGGAGAAAGAATGGGGCATCTCGAGTTAGAAATCATTCTCTTTCCTTAAACTTTCAAAACCAGTTTTTCTGGAAACCCCTTGTATACAATAGAAATCTTGTATAAATCATTATAGAAATAAATTTTCAATCTTTTGATATCAGAAAGATATGAGTTTCTAAACTTCCTATCCCATAGATTCTTAATAGATTGAAGAAGATAATTTCTTTCTTACTTTAACAAAGAGAGAATTTTCTTTACTTAAGATCTTTATTCTTAATTCTAAGAAGAGATACAGTGAGGGCAAGAAGCTGAAATAGCAGAATTCCCATTGAGGCAAGATGCCGTTTGAGGGAGCAGTTTGCAGATTCAGAGCCTGAAGGTCGCTCGATTCTAAGAATACAGATTTAAGATCAAAAGTAAGGTAAAATTATTGTCTTTGTTAAATTTAGAAAGAATTCTTCTAATATCTTGAAAGAATCGTAGGGATTATTACTTTTCATGTTTGTAAAAAACTTATCTAACATGTTATTATTCATAAAGCTTGCAAGGAATTATCTGAATAATGCCATGTTATACAATTAAAGGATTAAATAATTTGTTAGAAAAACTATTAAGGAAAATAAGAAATATTTTTGCTCAACTAGAGACTATGGATATTTCATCTAAGGAATATGATAATCTTAGTGAATTACATGACAATTATATTACAGATTATACTAATTTATTAGATCAAAGGATGGAACTATATATTAAAACTCGAAATGAAAGAAATAGAGGAATTTTAGAACTATCCCAATAAATTAAGGATATCTTGTGCAAAATATGACAAATCCTTTCATTAAGGGTATTATAAACATTTTATCAAAAATGAATAGTGGCGGGTCATTTATAAAAATCTCCCTAGTATACAGAGAAAAATATGAAAGAACAGAATATGAGATTCCTTATTTGAAGAGGATTATAGTCACCCTTGTAATGATGCTTGTTGGGTTTCCCACTGGAAAATTTCAAAGGGGCCTAGCAGAAATCGGAAAATAGTGATGAAAAGATCAAGTGAAGAGTGTTGGAGCAGCATAAAGTGAAGGGTCTGTAGAGAGAGAAGCCGAGCCTGGACCGTCTTCTTATAATGTAAATTCTACAGAAAATAGTGCGTGTGAAGGGAGGAGGATATGAAAACCTAGATGTGTAATACGCCAAGTGTGATAAAGGAGCGTGATTTCACGGATTGATTCAGGTTTTTTGGTTGTTATTTGGGATGTGGTGATGTATGTGGTAGTGGTGGTGGTTGTTGGGGTGCGGTCGATTTTACATGTCTTTCTTCCCTAACTTAAACTAAGCATTCCATAAGGGATTTACTTCTTTTGTATTGTTCCATTCGATCTTTTAGGTCCCTATTGAATTGTTGCAATTGATGTTCGATCCCAAAGAGAAGGAAAATATCTTAACTCCTCTCATAAAACTTTTATTTTGATAGGAAAATTATTCATTTTATTGATCTATAGATGCAATCTTGACCTTGTTTACAAAGTTTCTTCCGAATTAATTCTTTCTTAAAGTTTTTCTACTTAGCATTCCGATTTTTTTATAAGGATTTCTCATCCACATTCTCTTGATTTTCTTTTCTCAATATTCCTTTTAGAAAAAGAAAGGAAAAAAAAAAAACCGATTTCACGCAATAGAATCACAATCTCTATGCTCAACTCACATATCTCATCTTTTACTTAAATTTCAAATTGTTCGTTAGAGTTTAATAGAAATTGATACCATATTTAAATTTTGAGTTCCTTCTTAAAATATCAACTTTATTAAAAAGAGTAATCCAACACCCCCACAAGATGGTAATTATTGGTCTGTATTTTGGTAATTATTTGAAGTGAAATTTATAGCTAATATATCCCCCACAAGATGGTAATTCGCTTAACTCAATCTTGAAATTCGTATACTTATTTTTTAGTTTTAAACAAATCGAATTTCTCATTTTAATTTAATGAATTCTAATACCATATTAAGATTTAATGTTTCACTTTAAAAGAGTAATGTTATCACCACTCACCAATTTAGATGACAATTATATGACATTAAATAATATATTCATTTCAATGCAAATTTATCTAGACCGACATTAGATAACATTGAACTTATTTAGTGTAGCCACCTAAACTGGTGCTAGATGACATTATTCATTTTAAAATGTCAACCTTATCAAAAGGAATAACACAAACTCTTATAAATTGACCTATGTTTTTATTTTTATTTTTTATCCCTTCAGTCGCATAATATCATCTTGAATTTGAAGGAAAATTATACAAGAAATAAAAAGATTCTTTTTAATTTACATAACCTAATTTTGTAATCTAATTAAAAATTTTCCTTTTATAACTGTGTGTTATTCTCTTCTCAAATTATAAAAAGACATTATAGAACCAAGATAGCTCAACACAGCCCACCTATGAACCACTCATATCATAAAATATTAATGTGCGAACTGCTAAACGCATCATACTCTGCTCCCAACATACATGCCTAGTAAAAATAGGTTATGCAAAGAGACCACCATTGACATGGGGCAATAGTCTGACTAAAAAGAGTACTACCATTCAAGAACAACGTGTTATTCTCTTCTCAAATTATAAAAAGACATTATAGAACCAAGATAGCTCAACACAGCCCACCTATGAACCACTCATATCATAAAATATTAATGTGCGAACTGCTAAACGCATCATACTCTGCTCCCAACATACATGCCTAGTAAAAATAGGTTATGCAAAGAGACCACCATTGACATGGGGCAATAGTCTGACTAAAAAGAGTACTACCATTCAAGAACAAAAATTGTATCAACAGAAGCTAGGAAAGTGTAACTTGAACATTTGTAAATGGAGTGAAATCAACCTTTTATTGCTCTGGTTTGTCTGTCATAGACAACATAATGTTTAGTGATAAATCTCGGAACTTATGCATAAGAAGGGAACACCAAGATTCTATTATTGAAGGGCATTTGCACTCAAAACCTCGTAACTTTGTTGTTGACTCTGGAAATAAGGATGAAGGTTACGAACACCTTCAAGGTATAAGGGAGTTTGCATTTCAATCAAGCGGGAAACCTGCATGAATATTTATCTATTAAATAAAAATCTCTGAATTACATGTACATCTGCAAAAGTCGGGAATTCACAGACAGTAAAAGAGAATCTATCACAGGTAAACAACCAAGACAGGATGCTCACACAAACTGCGTACAAATGTGAGCAATGTTGTAAAAAATGTCGAGATGTGAAGGTTTCCATCACGAATAAGAAAGACGGACGAAAATGGTAAACTAAGACTGAATTTCTCCCTCACAAAAAATAGCGCTTTAGTGATCCTTTATATATGTATAGAATGCTGAATGCCTAATATACCTGAACCCAAATTACACCTAAAAGATTCCCCTCGAGGCTACTCATCCCCTGCGACCTGTCCGCCTGTCGACCTTACCGCAAATAAAATTAAAGTTTTGGCAAAAAGTTCATTGTCAATGAAAGGAAGTAGAGCATATATTTCTCTTTGCTACAAATTACATGGGCCTAGAAAGTTAAGCATATTTTGATTCTTGAAATTAAATTCAAGTCTCGAGCCTCCAAGCTATGTATATACATTTTTACCAGTAACCAGTCTACATCATCTCAACTATTAAAATTCGAGGACTAGTATTTTTACACATTATACTTATTTCCTCTTATACGTTCTTAAATAAGAATACATTTATTAACATCCACTTAAAATTGACCCTAATAAGTATTTATTAATGAACCTAATAGGTGTTAGTGCTTTCCTTAAGGTACTTTAGCCTAATCAAGAGATTTGACACCAGCACACTACTTTTTAAAAGAAATAGCCAATAGATTACCATATGACGAAACAAGGGACTATATTTCTACAAGTTATTCTTACATATTTTACCATTTTTTTTTCTAAATTTTAATTCGTCATGGTCCGAGTAAGTTTCTAACTACTGAGATTCTTTCTTGGCTCTCATGCTATTTGATACAGGAATGTCTTGTGTCACAAATGTTTGAGAGCGCACTCTAATGTGTGTCTGTGTGTGAGAGTGAGTGAGTGAGAGAGTGTGTGTGTGTGTGTGTGAGTGAGAGAGGAGAGAGAGAGAGATTATGCTGGAGTTAGATAGGGAACTCACAGCCCGTTGAAATGCAAACATCTCCTCTTGACCAGATAGCAGGGAAATGATTCCTGTTTGTGTACCTCCTGAACTCACACTGCCTTCTGCTAAAACATCTCGCCGGAGCTTCCCACCTTCCGTTTCCGTTTCAAATTGAAAGCTGTAACAGAGGAATTAATTGATTCATGAAATGTAATGATGTTAACTGTTGCCATAATTTTTCCAGTCAGAACATCGATGCCCATAACTCCATGAGGTAACTACAAAAAACTAAGCAGATATCTCACAGTATATCATTTATTCATTTGAGATTAAACTAAATTCTATATATGGGAATTAAAAACAACAGTCATATTTTTTATTCATGTTATTTGCTTCTCAGATCCTAGCTTAGCTAGCTGGAGTGGCTCTATGATAGCAGCTGCAGTTGAATTAAGTATCTATCAACTTCCTGGCTTTTAAAGAATCCAAACAATAAAATTAAGCTCCATTTTCGAATTTTATGGTCCATTACTTAAGGTCTTGCTTGTTATAAGATGCCACTTGTCACAAACATAGTCATTGCCGCAAAGAGTCTAGCATTTATCATTCTTTTTAAGTATTATAAAGAGCAAGTGGCAATCAAAAGATTTCCAGAAACATTCTGCACTAAAAGAATTTTATCCATGGTAATATGTTTTAAGTATCTAAGTAAAATAAAAAATGTAAGAAAAATACAAAAAAAGATACAAATTAAATAGCGCATACGCTAGGAGGTCCACAGTGTCAGCCATTGTCCAGCTTATGCAGACATTATAAGAAGAAAAAGCTAAATTAGACACTTGCCTCTCTAAATCAAACAGTGTTCCCTCTTCTGTTCCTTGAAATAGATCATCAATGGAAGATGATGCAGAACAGAATAGGCAGCAATGATGATTGTACAGTTCGTCGATAAGGGTGATAAACCTCCGAGCCTGAGATGGAAATACACTATCAATGATGACAAGAAAATATGTAGGGAAGAACTAGAAAATGGCTGGAAAAATGTTCAATTGTAGCAGAACAAAAGAAGCTTCAATGGCAAAGTTCTAAATCAAACCAACCCTGCTTAATATCTCGCAAGATAAGAAGACAGTATTATTCAATAGCATGTCAAAACACATTCAATGATAACTTCCGAAGTCCTGAAAAATTTTTGAGGCCTTTCTTTGTTTTGAATGGTTATTTCTATTAGCACGTATGCTCCAAATACGATTAGCTAAGACAACAACGCAACAATTTTCGGAAGCCATTGATACATCAATCTAGGAAATTCTAGGCAAGAGAAGATTTTTGTTGGAGGATATTCGCATAACTCAGGATGTCAAAGAGTACACGAGAAGTTTGGCTTTGGGGAATGGGGATCGAACAAGAAGGTAACACAAATTTGGACTTTAGAATGATTTGTGGTCGGTGTTTGCGAATATGAAATAAAGTTATGAAAAGGAGAAAACAAGAAAAAAATCAAAAGTATAAATTATGGAGATCTGGTGCTAAACGTGAAACAAAGAAAGCTATGGGGCTGAAAGTGAAAATAAAGGACAAGAACAACTGTACAATAGCTTAACAAACATGAACGTGGATAATCGTAAGGGAAACTATCATGAAAAGAAAATCACCAAAATAAATAGGTCCAAATTTCAAATGTAAATCACACCAAAATCCTTTAATCATAGAAACATCCGGAAGCTTCACTAGCCAGGTTCTACCGCTTCTAACTACTGAAATAAATTTATTTGCATTCTTAATCTAGATTATGTTCTGAAAATGTTATTGAGATAACTAACAAGTAAGCAATTATGGTACCTTGTCACGGATACGCATGCTCATAATAGGGATATCTGATATGAAGACTGTGTGATAGCTTTTAGCTACTGCAATATAATCAGCTGCCCCAACCTGCATATATTTAAGGTGGTATTGCAAGAATGCGTTATTGGTGCAGAAAAATAATGAGGCAAAAAATTGATGGGAAACTAAGTACTTCACAAAATATATACAAAAAAATAATTTTGCTTTCCATTATCAGATTGTATTTTCTTCCACCGCAGTCCATTCTTTTAATTTGCTATGTTCACTTTCATTGACATTTTTCCTCTTTTCAAATCAGTATTTTGGAACCACAGATGGAAAGATGAGATAGATAGCCACTGCAGCAAAACTGTGTTCCCCTCCACTGGAAGCGGTCTTATGCTTGTAGTTTATGAAGAACTACCGAGGGCTTTCCACCCCACAAAATCTTTTTACAACAATTTTTTTTAACTAAAAAATCCACACATGATACCTAAATAGGATTCAAGTAAGAAGATTTCAAACAGTAATATGAGCAGCAAAGAAAGTCTAGCCCTCAAGGTGTATATGTAAACATCAACAATTGAGATACTTTAACTATCTCATCCAAAGGAAACACAATACCGGCCTGCCGCATAGGTACTCAAATGTGAACCGCGCCACCCCATTGCAGCTTTCAGGAACCTCCAATGTTCTGATTAAAAGTGGAGAAATTATGATGACAAATCAGCTATAGAAATATCATGTTCTAAGTTATTCATACCTCCCAAACATCACTGGAAGAGTCTGAGAAGAGACCTGCCCTCCAGTTTTCCTTATGGTCATGTCCCACATGTTCTCAAATTCCTTTATTTTGACTCTGTCAAGAGGCCAGAAGTAGTGAACCTGAAGATACACAAAGACATCCCATATGAAGAGAAATGCTTACAGCTTGCATTTAACTTCTACAAAAGAGACATGAGTGTGAAAGGCACAAAAGAAAACGAGCAATCCAATAAGAAGCTTTAAATGAACCAATGACAAGGATTTGTCAAATAAACCAATGAGATAACATGGAACACAGTGCATTTAGCTTCATTTTGCATATTGAGAAGACTGTCTGCATGAAATGAGGGAAGTTCAGGAGTAAAACGATTGCCATATGTGTAAACAAAAACTTTAGATATTTGTTGACCATAAAAAGTAAAAGGATAAAGGATCCAGTATAAAAAATCTAGAGACGAGACAGGTTAATATAAGGGTTCTGACAGTGTGACAAATGTATATGTTCAAGTAAAGCTAGCACTAATGGTAGAGTATAAAGTAAACAAAGAAGAAAAAACAGAAAGAAGAAAATGATAGTTACAAAAGATACCTCATTGGGTACCCAGATATTGGTCTTTGTCATTTAATTATTCCATGTTCATGATAGTATAGCCTTTTTCTATAAGTTGGCATTATGCTATTTCCTTATCACTCTCTTGCTTGACTTGGATATACTTAAAGGTAGCTGCTTCTTTTTCGATAAATAGGGATCTTTCACCTTTTGCAGCAGGGTCTATTTAACTATAATAATAAATAAGAGGGAAAATGGATGCAAATGTAAAATTGTTAAATAGATGAAATGCATACATCTATCTGCATAGAACCATCAAAATTTGTTTAGACTTAAAACATGTTGCTAATGAAATTGATCAATACTTACCGGATCTATTGATCTTTGTGCTATGTAACGGCGATAATCTATTTCATTTCCAATTAGAACATTTTCACAGTGCTGCTCTAGGCTGTCTACAAACTTTAGGAAGATCTCTTTTTGCATGCCATCCTGAAGAAAACAGAAGTTGGAGTTCAGACTTGAGCATTTCTTATTTGCAGACCCTCAAAATCTATGTCAGAAAATCTCAATCAGTTCAACTATGTGGATGTAAACCTCAAGAGCATAACAAGATATTAAACTGATTAACAGGTAAAAGCTATAAGAAATTTCTAGGAAGTGAGTTGCTTGCCAGGATGAATTAACTTGAGGAGCACCTGATTCAAATCCCTCGGCGCACGATTACTAGTAGCAACTAGAATGGTTCCTGTACTCAGCAATCTATTCACAATTCCAGATAAGGCGACAATAGCAAATACATCAACTGTCTGTAATAGAAAGCAAAAATTATGTGTCAAAAATTAAGTTAGGAAGCAGTATCTGAGATCTGGTGAACCATAAGCACATAGAAATGAGATCTCTTGGAAGTGGAAACTGATGCCAATTTATGACAACAATTTATAGGAAGATGTGGGCAAATGGACAAATTAATTGCACATTATACCCTTGCACTCAAGTAAGTTCAATTTGAGAATCAGAGAAACAATTGTAGAGGATAAGATTATTTCTTCAACATCAGTTAGCTTATCAACTTAATAACAGTTACATGCCTTGATCCAATGTAGTGTCCATTTTCAGATGGAAAGGGTGAATATCAATTGAACTATTATTTCCAAGATTTTTGTTTCCATATTTGGAAACTAAAGATTGTTTCTGATGTCAACTATCTAGTTAATTGAAACTTCAAGGACCTTTGTGCTGAAGCTAGAACATCATATATGAAAGAAGTGAGATTATTTTGAAACTTCAAGGACTAGATGTGCAATTTCCCTGTTTCTCTCTCTCTCTCTCTCTCTCTCTCTCTACACACACACACACACACAGAGATAGACATATATATCAAAACTATTGGTTCATTAACTTCTTTTTTACTCCAAGTATGCCATACAAAATTTACTTTCCAAGTTGCACTTACATCACTAAGAACTTGAAATTGGCTACAACTCTGTCAGTAACTAAAACAGAGGGCTCACAAAACATCAACTGTCTGACCTGTATTTCATCAAAGCACAAAACTCTAGCTCCTTTTTTATGTCCCTGCTCATCTACAAGAAACTTATCGGCCACAACTGGAAGAATGTTATTCATCTGCATTTCTTGCTGATATTTTTCTTCTGCAGCTAACCATTCTTTGATTTTTGTATCAAAGGGGAGATTCATAACCCAATTGGAAATACTTGACTGAAGAGACTTTTCCTCCACTTGACTCTTCCATACCTTGTGCATCAGGTCATGCACTTGAAGCATAGCCTGTCACATTAAATATTATACCGTTAAAAAGGTACACAGTATATATTTTGAATTAAGTGAAATTTTCTAAACTAGATTATATATTTCAGGCTTGAATATGGTATGAACCTTGGGTATCTTCACTTAGCTTTTAGACACAGGTCATTTTATGTGTGTACCGGATGTGAGTTAGTTTGCTTTGATCAGTTTAACAACTACTATGGATTCAAATCACATTATTTTTCTGCCAATATCATCATCAGTTCTTGCGAGTCATTAGGGAGAATGTTTTATGTGTTACCCCGGATTAGCTGACTATGTGGTGTAAATAATTCCTGTCTAACTAAACAACCAGATCCAGAGAGCAAAAATACCTATCAAATTCTCCAGAAAGAATTGCATACCTTTCTCTGTTTGATAAACCATCATGTGCAATGACAAACATAGTTTGATGAATGCAGGCATAAGAAGATTTCACAGAGGCCAATGTTTTGTCTTTGCACAAGCATTATCCTACAGGTGCTATTGATTCCAAATCGAGTGCTGGCTTTCAAAATTTTATAGATGTAAAGAATTTTCCAGCAGAGAAGCACAGTTTTGTTAAGGAAAGACATGGGAAATCCCAGCAAGAAGGAAAGAAAATTTTGATGCCGCTCAACTTTAATTACAGAAGTACCAATCTGCAAATTTCTATTCATATGGTTTGAACTTTGAATAAAATATGCACAATCTAGACAGATTCTTATGGTAAAATAATATCAAGGTATTGCAAAACTCCGTAGCAAGCACTTGCCTCGTGAAAGTGAAACCTACTTCGGTGTTTAACAATTCCTTCAGTGGCGCTATAGAATATATCCATAAGCATTGTCTTCCCTATAAAATTCACAAATGTATTTAGTTTATATTGCACGAATGAAACATGAAAATTTAACTTGAAAGAATCTAGAAGCAAAGCAAGAAGCCACTCCAACACAAACAATGCCAGTTTCAGATATGTGTGAAAGAAAAGGAATGTTAATGTGCCACGACGTCATTCAAATTAACAAAAAATGACATTGCACAGTCGTGACCATCAAATAGGATAAATACAAATAGAAGCTAACCACTTCCAACGTTCCCATATAAATATAGTCCTTTTGGGGCTGGAGGTGCAGTAGGACGCTGGCCAACCAGCTCATTTAACTTCCTCTCTCGATTAAGATATGAAACCCATTTGCCAACACCTGGTTCCACATTTTCAGGTTGCTTCCTGAGAAAAAGACGAATTTTATTACTAGATGGAGGAATGAAAAGTGGCAGGCTAAGAAAGCAACAACTTAGTTTCAGACTAGTTAACTATCATATATTGCATTGACTAGTCATAAATGTTGGGTATCAAAAGTGCAATAAAAGAGGCCACTGAACTGTTCATGGAAGTGTAATTCTACTGATTATCTCATATTAAAATTCAAAATGACAGTTTTAAAAAGTAATTATCAGAAATGCTTTAACGCCTGTCTGGGAGCCATTTTTAGAGAATCTTAATCCAAAATGTAGCCGTTATATAGTACTAGGGCTAGACATGGTCCGATTCGGTTCGGTTCGGTTCTTACTTGAAATTTACTGGTATTTAGTAGGTGGAGCCGTTCGAATTCAGCTGCATTCAGTTCAGTTCGGCTCGATTCGATTTTCAAGTTCTGTACTATAATCAATTTTTTTAATATTTGCAAAGTTACATTAATTCTACTAATAATATGTTCAATTTTAGCTCTTACAAAATAACGTAGTCCAATCTTATGTGTCTTTTACATCTATCTTTGCTGAGTTCTTCATAGTTTTGATTGTTAAAATCACTGGAAGAGGAAGATAGCGAATTAACAGTAATTAAGAGGGGCGCTATCAAATTTCAATTCGATTTCTTTAGAACAGTAAAAAGGGCACTATGGTAGAATAACAGATTTGGGTAAAACTTAGGTCAATTTGATTAAGTTGGACTTAACTGAAAATTAGAAATAGGAAAATCATATTTTTGGGGTTTGAGCTAAATTAACTAGTTAGCAAATTTATTTAGAAAAAATAAAATAATTTGACTTATTTAAAATAAATAAATTAAAAAAATTAGGAATATTCAGTTTTTATTTGATTCTTCGGTTTTACATCTAGAACCAAAAATCGAATCGAACCCGTCGATTCTCTATTTAGGAACCGTTTCTACTGTTTTCTAGAACAGTAGAAATGGTACTACGGTAGAATAACAGATTTAGGTCAATTTGATTAAGTTAGGCTTGAACTGAAAAATAGAAATAGAAAAATCATATTTTTGGGCTTAAGCTAAATTAACTAGTTAGCAAATTTATTTAGAAAAAATAAAATAATTTGACTAAATTAAAAAATTAGGAAGATTCAGTTTTTATTCAGTTCTTCGGTGATAGATTTAGAACCGAGAACCGAATCGAACCCATTGGTTCTTGATTCAGATACGCGTAGAAACGACACTACGGTAGAATAACAGATTTGGGTAAAATTTAGATCAATTTGATTAAGTTGGACTTGAACTGGAAATTAGAAATAGGAAAATCCTATTTTTTGGTTTGAGCTAAATTGATTAGTTAGTAAATTTATCTAGAAAAAATAAAATAATTTGACTTTTTTAAAATAAATAAATTAAAAAAATTAGGAAGCTTCAGTTTTTATTCGGTTCTTCAGTTCTTGGTTCTACATTTAGAACCAAGAATTGAATTGAACCCGTCAGTTCTTGATTTAGATACCCCTTCGGGTATTTAACATAAGAAGAATTGCTCAGTTCGGTTCAGTTCTATTCCGGTCCGGTTCGGATTGAAAGTTTTGCCTAGTCGTATATAGTACATATATTCAGCATACCACAACAATTGACTGGGATAGTAAAAAGATATTATCAAAAATGCCCTTTGTACTATGATGTACAGTGAGGATGGTGAATTTATAGAGGGGTATTGAAGTAATATCACAGATATAGATTGGAGAAATGTAGTCAATTCATGTCAGGCTGTCTGATGAAATTTAGGGTATAACGGCAATTTTGGATTAAAATTTGACAAAAATGGCTCCCAGACATGCGCTTAATATTTATATATCATCGAAACTTCAATAAAGGATTGCCATTCTAACGATCAAAGATACATAAAAGGCAATATAGCAGTTCAATGGATTGAGGATAAGATAACATACATAATTAATGACTTTAAGCGAAATTTCATGTTGGTTGCTAAGCTTCATTTTGTTCAAGTTTGGATACTCAACTTAAAATTTGCTACAATTGGGTCATTCAACTTAAATGTTTGATACAATTTGGTTAATCCATTTATGCATGTTTGGCTAATAAAAAAGCTGATGAGGCGATTGTCTAATATTAGAGCTGTGTATAAATCGTGTATAAGTCTATTATTTAGTTACTCTTCATTGTGTCAGTCAGTTAGTTTGGTTTAGTTAATTTGTTAGTTGGCGGCCAGCTGGCTTTTCTTGCAACCCTGTATATGAACTATGTATATTGTCATTGTATATCCATTTTCGAAAAGTAATGAAAGCATAATTCATTCTCCGCATTTCAGTTTTGGATCTAATGTGGTATCAGAGCAAATCCTTCCTATGTTCTTCTTCCTCTCCAATTCATTCTGATTTGTTTTGATTTGATTCCCACATGGAATCAACACAATCTGAAGATCGCTCTGATTCAAGGTCATCCATGAGTAAATCTGCCATTGATGAACCTTCAAGCCCCTATTTCCTTCACCACCCAGACATTCCGGTATAGATCCTAGTATCTCGGCAGCTCACCGGAGATGGAGCCATGCAATGTTGATTGCATTGTCAATAAAAATTAAGCTTGGATTCATTGACGAAACTATATCCAAGCTGGAAGGTATCAAATCTGATTTGATAAACTCATGGATTCGAAATAATAATATAGTCATTTCCTGGATTTTGAATTCCATTTCAAAGGGAATTTCTGCCAGTGTGACATATGCTACATCTGCATTTGAGATATGGAATGTTCTAAAGGATAGATTCTAGCAGAACTGCGGATTTTTCAATTGAAAAGAGAACTGATGAATCTAGTTCAAGACCAAAGTAAATTCAGCATCTATTTATTAAGCCCAAAACAATCTGGGAAGAATTAAGAGATTACCGTCCTAATTGCTGCTGCAGAAAATGCACCTGTGGATGGGTGAAAGAGTTTAATAATCAATTATCAAATGGAGTACATAATGTTATTTCTCATGGGTATAGATGACTTAATATCAAGTCAGAGGACAGATATTACTTATGGATCCACTGCCTCAAATTAATAAGGTGTTTGCCTTGATATCTCAAGAAGAAAATCAAAGGAAGATAAGTACACAGATAGCTGTTGGAAATGATTAAAACGGAGCTGTTGCTTTTGCTTTTAAAGCTGACAACAGCAAAGCAGTAAGTAATCATGGATCTTATAACTCTAACTCAAGATTTGGAAATACAGGAAACATCAAGAAGAAATAAAGATCTTATTGTACTCCAGTAACTTTCATGGTCAATCAATTGACAAATGCTACAAGATCCATGGATACCCACCAGGTTATAAAACAAGATCAAGAGACAACTTCCAAAATACTTCTGGTTCTAACCATGTCCATCAAATTTCTGCCCCATTCAATCCTCAGAATGATGATAAACACAAGCAACAGCCTGGTTTTGGGAACTTCGCCTAGAATTTGAATTCCAATCAGTACCAACAGTTGATGTCCATGCTATCTACGCACTTGGCATCAAGTTCAAACATAGTTGCAGTTGATCAACAGGACAACAACATCATCTCATATGCTGCAGGTATATGTTACTCCATAATAGGAGATCCTGTATTTTCATCCAAAGACACATGGATAATAGACTCGGGTGCAACTAAACATGTGTGTTCCATTGCTGCTGCCTTCGTATCAATGAGAATTATTGATAACTCCAGTTACTTTGCCAAATCACACACAACTCCCAGTAAGGCTGTGTGGTGATGTCAAGCTGGCTTAATTATTATACTACATGATGTTATGTTTGTGCCTCAATTCAAGTTCAATTTTTTGTCTATTAGTGCACTAACACTTGGATCACAACTCAACATCAGTTTCTTTCATGATCATTTCATCATTTAGGAAGCCAAAACCAAAAGGATGACTGGCAGTGGTGATCAATTTCAGGATCTATATGTCCTTGATACCAAAGTTTTGAATTCTATTTCAAATGCACTTGTAAATAATGTTTCAGTACATGTTTGGCACAATAAGCTTGGCCATCTTTCTTTCAAAAGATTGGATAGTTTGAAGGATAATTGTTATGCGATATTACAAAGTTCAATAAAAACATTCCTTGTTACATTTGTCATCTTGCTAAACAGAGAAGATTGTCTTTTGATTCAAAAAATCATTTGTTAAGTCATCCATTTGGTCATGTACATTGCGACATTTGGGGACCTTATCAAGTTACATCACATACGGGACATAGAATCTTCTTGACCTTAGTTGTTGATTGTTTAAGATTTACATGGATCTATCCATTGAAACACGTCAGATGCAACAAGTGTCATTCCAAGATTCTGCAATGTGATATCAACACAATTCAATGCTAAATTCAATCCTTCTGAATTGGCATTCAATGAATTCTTTGCCGAAAAGGGAATGATACATCAGTTCAGCTATCTTAAAAGACCACAACAAAATCCTGTAGTAAAACGCAAACATCAGCACCTTTTAAATGTAGCAAGAGCTCTATATTTCCAGTCACAAGTTCCAATAAAATTCTGGTCTGATTGTGTGTTAGCCGCCTTTTTGATTAATAGAACTCCATCTCCTCTATTGAAACACAAGATACCTTATAATGTCTTGGACAACAAACCAGCAGATTACTCTTCACTTAGTATTTGGATGTTTGGCTTTTGCTTCGACCTTGGCTGCACATTGAAATAATTTCCAACCACATGCGAGGTTGTGTGTTTTTCTGGGATATCCATCTGGGGTTAGAAGGCTATCAGTTGTATAAGGTGGTTACAAAACAAATATTCTTGTCATAAAAAGTTTTTCATGAAGATATATTTCCATTTCACAGTCATTGAAGCTGAGCATATGACTAATCCTTTTCCTGACTTGGTATTACTATTCCTTTCTTTGTCCATTCATCAAGACGTCCCTACTGAGTCAGTTAAACACATCCCTAATCCTATCCCACTTATTGAAACTCACATTTCAACCCAAGATGAGGCTTCATCTCCTGCCTTGGAAACTATTGAGGTACTACCTGATCAAACTGACATTGGTCACACTCCATTTATTGCTGCCAGAAAATCACGTGGTGTCATTAAACCTCCAAAATATCTCAGAGATTTTCATTGCAACATGATTTCTCAAAATTCCCATCCTTCTTATCATTCACCTCATCACATTGGTCGCTTTATATCATATATTAATTTGTCCTCTAATCACTGACATTTGATATTGAATGTCTCATCCTAGTTTGAGCCTCAGAATTAACACCAAGCCGTCAAGTATCCTCAATGGCGTGAAGCTATGAAGCATGAGCTAGATGCTATGGAACTTAATCAACATGGTCTACTATTACTTTACCACGTGGTAAACTCTGTTGGTTGCAGGTGGATATACAAAATCAAATACAAATCAGATGGGTCAACTAAAAGACATAAGGCAAGCCTTGTTGCTAAAGGTTATACACAGCATGAGGGCCTCGACTAGTTCGATACCTTTTCTCTAGTGGCAAAGATAGTAACAGTTAAAGTTTTGCTAGCTCTGGCAACATCCCATAATTGGCATCTAGTTCAACTCGATGTTAACAACACTTTTTTGAATGGTGACTTATTTGAGGAAGAATACATGGATCTTCCTCTTAGATATGCAGTCAACAACCCTACTTGGGAGAAGTTAGTATGCAAATTACACAAGTCCATATGTGGACTCAAGCAAGCATCAAGGCAATGGAATTCAAAATTTTCTCAGGCCCTCATCCATTTTGGCTTCACCCAGTCGAAGGTTGACTATTCCTTATTTACAAAAGGGTCTAGAGATAAATTTGTGGCATTGTTGATTCATGTTGATGACATTGTCATCACTGGTCCTAATGCTCAAGCTATTGTAGCTTTGAAAAATTTCATACATTCTCAATTCAAGCTCAAATTGGGTTGTTTGAAATATTTTTTTGGGGATTGAAATTGCTCGCTCCAGATCAGGTATAGTAATCTCTCAAAAGGGATTATACTCTACATTTACTTGAAGACTATTTGGACTTAAACCGGTTGATTCACCTATGGATCCAAAGGCATATCTCAGCATACATGATGGAGATCTTTTACTAGCTGACGTTTAATTGGAAGGTTGATCTATCTAACTTTGTCCTGGCCTGATATCACATATGCTATCCACAAGTTGAGTCAATTTCTTTCTCAACCTCGATTGCCACACCTTAAAGCTGTACATCATCTCCTTCAATATTTGAAAAGCAACCGGGTCAAGGCTTATTCTATCCAGCAACAACTTCTTCACCTATCAAATTGCAGGCTCTTTTGGATGCAGATTGGGGTTCATGTGTCAACACAAGGAAGTCCACAACTGGTTTTTGCATCTTCATTGGAGAGTCACCAATCTCTTGGAAAGCTAAAAGACAACATACAGTGTCATCATCATTAGCTGAAGTAGAATATCGTACCCTTGCTGCCACCATTAGTGAAATTCTGTGGGTCAATCAATTCTTAAAGATTTTCAGGTTCCTGCAACTTCTCCTGCCATTCTTTTCTGTGATAACCAAGTGGCATTCAAATTGCAACCAATTGCATCTTTCATGAACAGACTAAGCACATCCAAATCAACAGCCATTTCATTCGTCATAAGATTGCAGCTGGAATGGTTAAACTTCTTCCCATTCGATCACAAAATCAACTGGCTGATGTCCTTACTAAGCCTCTCCCTGCTTCGAGTCTTTTCTCTTTGTCATCCAAGATGTTTGTAAAAGACATTTATGGTACGTCTTGAGGGGGAGTATTAGAGCTATGCATAAACTATATATAAGTTTGTTAGTTAGTCACCAACTGGCCTTTCTTGTAACCGTGTATATACACTATTTATATTGTCATTGTACACCCATTTTCGAAAAGTAATGAAAGAATAATTCGTTCTCCACATTTCAGTTTTGGATCTAATATCTAGTGGCATCCTAGCTGGCAAATAACTAGACTATCACTTCAACCTTTTCATTTGTCAAACTACTAGACATAGAAAGAGTGAACAAATTGTAACAAAGTCTATGTTCAGTGACACTTAAAAATGATACAAAGTTGGAGAATAATATGAAGAGTTTAGTGACCACCAATATATTTAACCCTAAATTATCATAATCATATTGCATAAGCGAGATGAACTTGTAAAACAATGTGTATTGCATGGGGGAAAGAGTTACATCATAGAACTAACTGGAAGGAAATTGTATCCAATGTTCTTCCATTGCCAAACCATACTTGTCACAGAATATCGCAATCTAACTGTGTTTGAGCAAACTGATAAAGCTCTTCAAACATGATATAAGTCTCATTTAACGTCTAAGGTCCCTCAGATGATATGGATACTATAAGAGTTGTTTCTGTTATATTGTTTAGGTAATGCTGGGACCAATCCGTGAATCTAGGGTTTAAACTCAACATAGGGAAGGGAGTAGGATATCGAGGACTATCTTCA